ACAGTTGTGGGTCTGTGGCCTAAAATCCACAGCCAGCGTGAAACTCAAGGGCACAGTCATGCTGTGAAACATCAGGCACTGCCTGCCGTGGGAGCCCCATTTAGGTCCTTGGGATGCAGAAATGTTCCTGAAGTCACAGCAGAAGTTTAAACAGCCTCAGGACAGTTGTCTCGCTTGAGGTTTCACTAGATCAAGTTTTAAAGTTTTCTGAATACAGAGGGCCGGGATGGGGTCTCTGGCCAGGAACGTGGAATGCAATGATCATTTGCCCTTCACTTTTTTCCTATGGTGGGTCAGTCTCCATTTAACAACATGGCTGCCTGCCAGTGTGCTGATGGGGCCAAATTCAGTCTGTGCCTCCTTGTCAGCAAAAGGATGTGAACGTTCCTCTGAAGGCACATCAAGGAATGGGCTTCTGAGCTCCTCGTTTGAACTAACTGGTTCATGTGTGTCTCATTCTGGCCAGAGCCCTCACTGAGAGACCGGCAGTCACTTGATGTCTAGTGGAAACTTCTGGTCCTGCCGTCCTGTTGACTAAGAAACCCGAGGTCGTGGGTACGAGGTCTGTCCTCATTGCCCAGGCTTCTCTGTTGCACTCCAGACGCAAATCTGCTCTGGCAACCACATAAGCAGTCCAGTAAATGAGGGAGGAAGGTCTCTTTCTGAAGGATGAAATGTCACTTCTAAAACAGAACTCATTCTCTCTTTTCAGCTCTCCCAAACTTTCCGTCCTACGAGTGGTGCCAGTATGCCCCTGAGCTCAATATTTTGGCATCAACATTGACAGTTTCCTCCGTTCGGCCCTTCAAATGGAGCCAGCCAGCCAGCCAGGCTTCTCAAGTGCGCCTTCAAACTCTCCTAGGATGATTTCTTTCCATTCCTGCTTTGCCTTTGGGTCGTTACATAGTTGGATACCTGGGCCTAAATTCCCCTTCCCTTCAACGGCTCTAAACTACCTACTGCAATGATCCTAAGTTTGTTTGTCTACCTTTCAAGACCCTGCATAATTTTCTCCTACCTGATTTTATTTGCCACGGCTCTCAATGCTAATCCGTCTACACAGACATGCACATAGACACACCCACACTCCCGTGGGTGTACACGCCCTTCCACCATCACCCACCTTTCCCTCGGGCTGCCTCCTCCTGCACACCTTTGGATGGTCTCTGTAATCCTGGCTTTATCCGTCGGAACGCACCCCGGGAGGGCGTTTACCACCTCCGGCACCAGTCTACCGTAATCTCTCCTTCGACCACCTCCACAGGCTGTGATTTTCGGCGACAAGCCACACCTCTGCACTCACCCCCGTTTTCCTGCTCCCTCAGGCTTCTGGAATCCCCCTGGACTCAAAAAGCCTTCGAGAAAACAAAAGTGGAACCGATGGACAGTAGAGCACCGCGGCTGAGGGCCAGCTCACCAGCACTGCGAGGCAGAGCCACTGTCCAGGGACCGCACGGTGCTGAGATCCGTGGCTTGCTGGGCTGAAGGAGAAGCACCCACTAATTGGTTCAGACCACAAAGGTCAACCCCACGAGCATCCAGTAAGACAGGCACGATGAAAGCCACACAAGCCGGGAGAGAAGAAAGTAGCTGTGGTGAGTGGGGCTGGGTGTGATTAGAAGTGCCAACAGGCGGGGCGCCTGGGTGGCGCAGTCGGTTAAGCGTCCGACTTCAGCCAGGTCACGATCTCGCGGTCTGTGAGTTCGAGCCCCGCGTCGGGCTCTGGGCGGATGGCTCAGAGCCTGGAGCCGGTTTCCGATTCTGTGTCTCCCTCTCTCTCTGCCCCTCCCCCGTTCATGCTCTGTCTCTCTCTGTCCCAAAAATAAATAAATGTTGAAAAAAAAATTTTTTTTAAAAAAAGAAGTGCCAACAGGCACTGTGGACTGCGGTGGAGAAGCAAGTTGATGATGAGGCGACAGAAGATGCCAGCTCTGGGGTCTGCGGGGGTGGCAACAGGCCCACGCTCACTCGTGTGCTCTCTCTCTCTCTCTGTGCAACAACCCTTGGAAACGAGGAAGATTCTGGGAACGCAGCAGCTTCCTGTCCTGCCTAGAAGGCATGGTTCTGCTGCCGCAGGTGGAGGGGTGGGAGTGGCCAGCCGTGTGAAACCCCTGGCAGTGTGTGTGGCCCCTCTGCATCGCCTGCCAGAGGCTACCACTCAAGTGCCCCCAGGGACCAAGCAGGGAATGCGCGTGTGCAAGGTGGGGCAGGTATCAGGAACAGAGAGGGGTAGGGACCATGACGAATGGAAGAGCACACACGCCATCAAAAAGCATCCGAATGCGCATCGTCTTAAGATAGCGTGCAGGCGAAACAAACATGGGTTTGGCCCACATGTGGCCCACAGACACCCCGCCTATTGTCTCTGGGCTCCGCAGGTGCGTGTGCAACACACTATAAGGACTGACGATGGCAGGGGTGACCCTGAGTTGCCAACACGTTGGTGAAGCTCTCCCAAACTGCCAGTACAGATGTGGTCTGATGCGGTTATCTTCCCTGGATCTGGGGGGGGGGGGGCTCAGCTGGATGACACGGCTTCACCAGCCACAGTGTATGCTCAGTGAGCAGTCAGGGATCCTAGCGGCTCCCGTGGCTGCACAGAACTTTATTATTATTATTTTTTTAATATTTATTTATTTTGAGAAGGGGGGAGGGAGGGGCAGAGAGAGAGAGAGGGAGAACGAGAATCCCAAGCAGGCTCCACGTTGTCAGCACAGAGCCCATCGCAGGGGCTTGATCTCATGAACCATGAGATCATGACCTGAGCCAAAGTCAAGAGTAGGACGCTTAACCGACTGAGCCCCCCAGGCCCCCCACAGAACTTTAGAAAGTCAACGGGGGAGAGGCCTGGAATCTTACTGTTCCCTCAGTAGCCGTCATTGGTGGCTTCCTGCCTTAAAGGCTCGGCCATAGTTACAATTCTCCTGCTGTTACCCCGTAACTCTTCGACTTTCCCTCTCTCTGCCTCTTGGCCTCTACTTGTCCCTGACTTAACATCGCTTCTTAGCAACTGCTTATTTGTGACTTGTCTTGCCTTGTGGCTTCTGCCTCTCCTTGCGTGACCCAGCTTCCGTTTCATAGGTGAGCCAGTCAACATCTACCCAGTGCCTTTGCTGGAAAGCTCTTATGCCAGATGGCCTCATAGGCTACTCACTAACCTACAGATGGGTGCTTTCGGTGAAGTTCCAAGAGTCAGAGTCAACTTTGGCCAGAAAAACATGGTCCTTGGCACAAAGCATGGGACTCATTTATAAAGAGCTGCTGATTCTTGCTCTCACAAGGGGCAGTGAGCATAGCAGATACTTGGAACGTCATGCCCACAACACTAAGATATATACAATTTTTTTAAAGTAATTTCTACTACCCACAATGTGAGGATCAAACTCACAACCCCCAAGACAGAGAGTCTCATGCTCTACCGACCGAGCCAGCCAGGCGCCCCTAAGATATCTTAAGCTACATTCAGGATACTCTCTTTGTGAAGGCAGGGGGAAAAGTCAGTTCAAATAGGCATGGAAATCAAAGGCTTACCTCTCAGATAAAGTGACAGAATACCCAGTTCAGAGCAGCTTAAATAACTATGGACTCTTCTCCTGCTAGAAGTAGAGATAGGCGGTTATTGGTATTGGTTCAGCCACTCTATGATATTAGGACAACCATCTCTGAGATTCCTTTGGCTTGTACCTCCTGGTTACAAAATTGCTGCTGCAGATCTGTGTTTAAGAACGAAGGAAGGTTCGGGGCACCTGGGTGGCTCAGTCGGTTAAGCGTCTGACTTCAGCTCAGGTCATGATCTCACAGCTTGTGGGTTCAAGCCCCGCATCGGGCTCTGTGCTGACAGCTCAGAGCCTGGAGTCTGCGTCAGATTCTGTGTCCCCCTCTCTCTCTGCCCCTCCCCCACTCACACGCACTCTTAAAAATAAATAAACATAAAAAAAAAAAAGAATGAGAGAAGGGACCACTCTTACCAGCTGAGTTGGTCCCTTTTATCAGGAGAGCTAAAGCCTTCCTAGAACCCACCCACCTTCACCAGTCCACTTTCCCTTAACATCCCTCTGGCCTGGGCTGTGGCACCCTCGTTGTGGGCAGGCTGGGAAATCGAGTGCCTAGCTTTCTAGTGAGATTGATAGCACCTTGTTTCTTACGCATACGGATTTTCTCGCGTTGTGTGTTCAATGCACCATACAGCATTGGGCGCCTTAGGAAGGAAGTATGAAGTAACAAAAAAAAGCACAGAAAAAAGGATAGGTTTAAACACCAGCTCCATGATTTCCTCTGTAATCAAAAGCAATGAACTTGCTGAAAGTCATCCTCAAGCTAAAGAAAAAGGGGTATCAAATACTTCCTTGCAGGGCTGTTGTGAGAATTAAATGAGATAGTGTGTTTACAATCCTTGGCCAGGAAGAGATACCCCCAAGTGATTACTGTTCTACCATGGTCTGTTGTCTCCTGTTTGATGGGCACACGGTGGGTGGACACATGGTGGAAGGCAGTAGAGCTTGACGGTCAAGAGCACAGGCCCCAAAGTCAAGTGGTTGGGTCCAGTCCCATTCTCCACCACTAACTAGCTGTGTGACCTCGGAGAAGTTTGCAGTCTCTCTGAGCTTCAGTTCCCCTCTTGGAGACTAGAGGTAATAGACCATAGCTCATAGGGGGTACACTTGGAAGAAAAGAAGAGATAATGTCCCTTTTAAAGCACTGGGCCTGGGCCACAAAGCACACATGCGGTAAATGTTGGCTATTATTATTAATTGCCGGGGTGCCTGGGTGGCTCAGTCGGTCGAGCTCAGCTCGGGACTTCGGCTCAGCTCATGATCTCACGGCTCATGAGTTCGAGCCCCGCGTTGGGCTCTGTGCTGACGGCTCAGAACCCGGAGCCTGCTTCGGATTCTGCATCTCCCTCTCTCTCTGCCCCTCCCCCACTCATGCTCTGTCTCTCAAAAATGAATAAATGTTAACAAAAGATAAAAAAATATATATATATATATTAATTGCATTTTTTTTCTCCCTTGGCCCAGAACTAAAACCTATTGAACCAGAAGAGCAAGTACCTTGCTGTTGAAACTTTTAAAACCAAGTGGTCTTCAATGCCCTAAAATACACAAACTATCGAACCAGAAGCAGCAGCGCACCAAGAGTCGGGAAGTGTTGGAGCAGGTGGGGTGGGGTGGTCTGCCCTGGATTCAGGCAATAAGAAGGTACATTGTCTGCAGAGAACTCTTTTAATAATAATTTTTTTTGACACAGGGCTTGATCTCGCGGCCATGAGCTCGTGACCCGAGCTGAAATCCGATGCTTAACTGACTGAGCCACCCAGGTGCCCCAATAACTACTTTAAAACCCCCAAGTAAGATAAAAAATTTATTTGCCTTTCATTACCACCATGTGCCAAGATTTCTAAACAATGTAAGTGATCAAATAGACTCCCCAAACCCCATCACGTTTGCCCAAGTCCTAAAGGATTGCTACAATTACTGTTGAGTTTTAATAATAGGCAAGCTTCGCATTAGCACATTTTTATTAGCCTTTAATAAATATCGCATTCTACTGGAGAATTCCAAGTTCTGCAGTCAGCCTCTGACACCCGCAGAGTCTGGCCCTAACTGTTTGGAATCACAAGAGCCCCCTTCAGATTGTCTGCAATTCCCTAGTCCTTCACTCTCCTGCATGTAAACCACAGCCTCTGGATCGACCATGAGAACGCAGGGCCTCTAGAGACAAGGAGAGGAAACTCGAGTCACTTCAATTCTGTGTGGCTTCGGGGAATTTGATGTGTATTGAAAGTTAAAACAGCTACCAGATGGTGAACTGCAAGGTGTGATATTTTCGTTTGGCAGATGCAAATTTTATTTCATACATGGTATATCGTACCCCAGGTGAGTGAACTTTTAAAGTAAACTCCTTCTTTGAAATTATGTCTTTGTTTTTAAAATTAAAGAGCAAATCAAGGAGCTGGTGCTCATTGTTGATTGCTTCACGATCATTCCTGAAAACAATTTTGTATCAGAGAGGAAGATGTGAGGCATGATTCGCCCTGATTAGATTAACGTTGCCGCCCGGGTGCTGCGATCCGCAAAGATGGGAGAAGGCGGAGGAAGGCGAGCAAACACCTGTATGTTTTTATTCACATTTCAACCTATCTGAAATCACAATGTGTGTCACTGTTGCCCCTAGATGGGTGGTAGTCGTGACGTATCGTCACTGCCAGAGCCCGTGCATCAACACCAGCGTCCGTGTGGAAGAAAACCCCAGGGATAATAACGAGTCACTCTTCAAGCAATGCTGCAGGAACCACTGCCTTGCTGGACCAAGGAACAGCAAGATGGGGCAGGTGGAACAGAGGGACACTGAACTGGGCATGGCTTAAAAGAGTTCTATGTTTTTTTTTTAGATTTGTTTTTGATGTTTATTTTTGAGAGAGAGAGAGAGGGAGAGTGCAAGTGGGAGCAGGGGAGGGGCAGAGAGAGAGAGGGAGACACAGAATCCGAAGCAGGATCCAGGCTCTGGGCTGTCAGCACAGAGCCCAACGTGGGGCTCGAACTCACGAACCGTGAGATCATGACCTGGAGCTTCCCTGAGTGAGCCACCCAGGCGCCCCTCTTTCTTCTTTTGATGTATGAATGCACAA